AGACCAAGTGGCATCCTCTGCTTCCTGTGTCAGAGCGATTATCATTATATAATACGCACAACTACTTCCAAGTGTATACAGTGGTGCTAAGTACATTCATATTATTCTGCAACTGTCCACACCACTCATCAGTAGAACTGCATCCTCGCCTACTGGAACTCTGTACCCGCGAGACTCCCTATTACCCTCCTCAAGGTCCCCATTCCAGTTCCCAGAAGCCACAGTCCTGCAGTTCCTTTTGTGACTGGTTTATTTCACTTAGCATCATTAAGGTTCATCTGTGTGGATTCAGAATTTCCTTTCTTCTTTTTTTTTGTGGTGCTGGGGATTGAACCCAGGGCCTTGTGCATGCCAGGAAAGCACTCTACCAACTGAGCTATATCCCCAGCCCAGAATTTCCTTTCTTGGCTAATTCATATCCTTTGCGTGTGTGTCTGTATACATACACCCACCCCACACCCGCCGTTTCACTTCTCCGTTCACGGGCTGTGGCAATTGGGGATGACGGTGATGGGTGCATAGGTGTCCACCACCTGTTGGAGTTCCTATTTAAATTCTCCGGGGTGTGTGTCCAGAGAGTAACTGATGATCACAGGTGGTTCCTGGATTTCGGGGGGATGGCACCACCTCTGTTTCCCACAGTGGCTGCTCACTTTAGAGGCTGTAGTTCTGAGTGAGCCTTCTCTGCCTCTTGGACCTCTGTCCTGACTATTCTTCTGGGACAGGCTGAGATGGCCAGGGATCTGGCTGTGACAATCCACCTGGGGCACAGGTAAGGCCAGGCAGGGAACTGAGGTGAGGGGCGGCGCACCCGTGAAACAAAGGTGCTGAAAATGATGGGTAAGTGTGGCCACGACACACCAGGAGCACCGCGAGGTCTGCACCATTTCGAAAGCAATTTGAAGAGGTCGCTTGAAGAGTGACTTGATTTCAATTTGTAGGACAAAACGGAATAAGTGATCCATCCACGAGTCTCGTGGAGAGTTTGGTGAAAAGGCGTGCTGAGCTGTGGTCAGAAGTTCTGTGGTGCCGGGGCTCCTGCCGACCCGTCTTCATGCTGCAATAAACTGGACCTTTCTTTGGGCCAGCAGTTGGCTTGGGCAGTGGGTCTCTGGGCCACTCTCCAATTCTTGCTTTTCATCTGGGGACTTCCCAGGAAGCCTGGCCTCTCAAGATGACCACTGGTCCTTCGTGGGCTGTGGCCTGGTGCTGGAGTGCCGGGGCACTTGAGGTGGGCGTCCTTTGTTACCTGCTCCCCGCTCCCTGAGTTTAGCTGGTGTCACTCTGCTGACCCTGACTGGAGGCTGCCTCCTCCCTCTCACCAGGGCCTCTCAGCCCAGCCTTCTTTCCTGCAGTCGAGTGTGCTGAGCGTGAATACTTCTACAGTCTCTTTCAAGTTTCTGAAATAACTGTAAAAGCTAAGGCAAAGCTGCCCCTGCCCCAGGTGGGTCTTCTGAAGGAAGGGTCACAGGGACACCCGGTAGGAGCACACGCCAGCTGCTCGGCCTCCTTTTCCTGGTTGCCGGCTTCTCAGCAGAAGGAATCGCTTTCAGTGACGGGGCTGAAGTTAGGGGTTCTGTGGCACGAAAGTGTGGCTGGGGGTAAAGAGGTATTTTGAACTCCCCCCTCCCAAGAGCGACCCCATCAAATTTCATTTCCAAACGATAATGAAGGCTTAGAGTAGGCTGCAGACAAAGCCTACCGTGTAGCAGAAAGACCCCTTTCCATCTGACCCACTTCCCGTGAGGGCCTGTCACTCTTGACCTTGGGCCCCTCTTCCCCTCCGGTGGGTTTCTTGTGTTGTGTCTCACCCACCTGCTGCCAGACAGTGGCAAGACATGGGGTGGTCACCATCTTCTTTCCTGTGGTCCCTCCTTTCTTTGACTGAATCTGTTCCAGATGGAGGATGTGACTTGAAGACCTGGAGGCAATTTTGCTCCATGGACTGGGCACACTGCCTCTGTCCACCTGGCTCCCGCCCTCTGCTTCTGGCTTTGTTGCTCCCACTTGGCACGGACAGTGTGTAATGCCTCGGCACGTCGCATGACAGGATGGGTCAAGTGGACCCATGGTTTGATTTCGGTGTTGATAGCTTAGCCGGATTCCTCCTGGCGAGCAGTGGCCGCTGCCCATGAAGTAGCGGGGCTGGCTCTGGGGCTCAGGCACACTGTGGCCACACTCCTGGCCTGGCCAGCTCCTGGTCAGCCTGGTTCCTGTTTCCCCTGAGGCTTTGAGGCTCCTGGTTTTGAGGGGCAGGTCTGTGCCGCAGGACGGTCTGACCAAGGAAAGCGGAGGAGGCACGTGGAGAACTTGAACCCTGCTGTTAGACTGGGTGAGGTCCAAGAGAACCAGCGGGGCTGCTGCCTGGGGCCCAGGGGTTCTGCTTCCCAGCCGTCTCTCATTTTCCCCAAGAGGAGACTGGGGACCCAGAAGCAGAGTTCCTTGTCCAAGGTGCCATCGCATCAGCCAGTCGCCTGTGTGACAGCTGCTGCCTGGTGACATGCGTCGCTTCCTGGATCTTCCTGGGTGGTCCATGGACTGACCGCAGTAGCCGGGATTGCACACCCCCCTCTAGAGCTTTAGTGTTAGTGCTGTGGTCAGAGCACCAGGCAAAGAGGTTGGGCCGTCTCTTCGGCCTCCCCTGTTGACGTGGCCAGCGGGGCGCTGCCCCGGGAGGAAGGCCTGCAGAGCTGGGCCCGAAGAGGCCTGGGGGGCACAGCCACCCCTCGTTGCTTTGATGCTGTGTGGGTGTAGGGAGAAACAGGGCGGGTTTTCTTTCTGTTTTTTAATCTCAGAGAATTTTTTTTCAGAATCATGACCAAGCAGAATTTCCATGTATCCAAAAAATACTGAGCTTTTTCTGATAGGTTCCACTCTTGAGAAACGATATGCATAAGCTTTAGATCTTGTCCCTGATAGATATGACTAATAGTAATGATCCTAATTAAAAAGTGTACGTATGATTGGAGAAAGATTAGAAGGGAATATATTAAAACCCAAGTGATGATTCTCTCTCCAGGTAATTAACATTCAACTAATATCTTTTTCTATTTTTAATTTCCTTTACAATAACCACGATTGCTGTAATAATCAGAAAGGAAATGTTAGACTCCAAAGTCACTCGGGGATTGAAGAATCTTTTCCCCAATTCTACTTTACATCCTTTTCTCGGTTTGCTTTGGCGATGGCCTGGTTTTAGTAAATTCACAGCGCCATGCAGCCATCCTCACCGTCTACGTTAGAACTTCATCACCCTTAAACAGAAACCATCTGTGCTAAGCCTGCGTACTCACTCCTACTGCTCCTGTCTCCACAGACCTGCCCGTCCTGGACACTTCATAAATGGCACCACACAGTGTGTGACCTTTGGAGTATGGCTTCTTGCACTCAGCACAGGGTTTGGAGGCTCGTCCACATGGCAGCCTGTCACTACTCCATTCCTTTTCCTGGCTACATCAGAGTTCACCGAGTGGATGGACCATGTTCTGTCCACCCATTCTTTAGTTGATGAACATTTGGGTGGACCATGTTTTGCTGTTGTGAATCAAGCTGCCACCAACATCTATGCATGAAGGACCAGATTTACCTGTGCTGTGATGTCCCTAGAGCAGTAAGATAAGACTCTAAACGCCTCCTCCAAGAAGGTCCCTTCGATGAACAGGGAGCCTGCAGCTGCCCGGGTGGAGGGGCTGGCTTTCTGTGCACAGAACGCTCGGATCTCAGCAAGAGTCTTCAGGAGACAGCTCTGGCTCTAGTCGCTGTTCCCGTGTTTTCCCGGAACTGGTCCTGGGGCCTGTAGCCTGGGCCTTACCTGGGGGTCACGAGTGCAAGGGGCTGCAGGTGGGGGTGGTGTGCAAGGTGGGGTTGTCTGTGCAGAATAGACTGGAGGAGGAGAGAGAGAGGGGCAGGGCCCCTCCACGAGCTCCGTGAAGCCCGACCTCGGGGTCTTTCCCAGTCCTAGTGTGGAACTGGAGGCGTCTGAATCCAAGGCCTCCCTTCCCTCCTTGGGGGAGGAAAAGTGTGTGGTGGGGCCGGTCTGTGACTCAGAGCAGGGAGTCACACCAGGGACGATGAGGGAGACCTCAGCTGGCATCTCGCTGGCCTCTTAAGGAAGCTGGAGGTCTCAGTTTGGGGACAATGATCAGCAGATTGGGCCCTCTGAAGAGAAGCCACTGTCCACATGGGGGCTACTGGGCACATGCTGAGGGGGACAGCTGGGGTTTGAGACCTGCTTGCAAGGGCAGGTCGCAGGGGTGGAACCATGCACTGACCCCAGTTTCTCTGTGTTTCTGTTGAACCTTCACTCAGAAGCCAGATCTATCACGGCACGTGAACAGGACTCCAAACACGCTTGCGCCCTTGCTCTAAGGCAGAGAGTGAAGCAGTCCCACCCCTCCCTCGGCTTATCTTCTGTATGATTTTGTTAATTCCTTGTGTTCTATTTGGTGAGGCTTTTCAGCACCAGCATTTTACAAATAATTTTTAGCATGCGCCCCATAGGCCAAGAACCACGGTTTTTAAAACTCATAAACATTTTTTCATTGCTTTGTTAATAGAGAACTGATAATTTCATTTTAGGAAGCACACACATGGAAAAAATTGAATAGTGAGCCTGATAGAAAACAAGTCTGCAAAATGAAGTGCCGGGTTTGCACATGTGCAACCTGAGGTAGAGCTGAAGCAATTATCCTCATGATCCGGACTTAAACATCCTTTTAGAAAAGACAATAACCAGAGCCTAAACTGTTCATTAATTTTTAAAATTCAACTCTTTGGCTTTTTTGTTTCCATTTTGCTGACTTCAGAGAAAGTAATAAAGGGAAGAATTGACTTGGAGGCCCTGTTGCAACATGACAGTTTCATTCTAACCTCTCTGTCAATCATCATTTACTGGGACTCTGCCTGGCTGCAAATGCACAGGACACAGGGGTCCGGTGCCTGCTGCTGACACGCCAGTGGTCGGTGCAGGAGCAGGTACGTCAACACACACAGGTTGGCCTTCCGCGCAGGAAGAGAGGGGACACTAAGTGAGGCTCAGAGGCATGGCACAGTGAGCTGTCTGGGGACCGGCTTCAGGAAGATGGCATTTGAGTGTGCTGGAAGCCAGGGCACTCGGTGGGAAGCAGGCAGATTGTTCTAGGGGGAGGAAGTGGTGCAGCTATTTTGAGAGAAGTTCAAAGACATTATAGCTGGACCATGGCTTTGGTAAAAAGCAGAGGGTGCTGGAGACGCAAGAAGAACTTGGAGTGACAGGAGTGTGGACGGGAAGACCACCGGGAGGTCAGGACTGTGGTGTGAGTGACATGGAGGTGCCCTGGGGAGGCAGTCAGGGGCAGGGCAGAGGCTGGCTTCAGAGGCTGGGCAGACTTGGAGGCCAGCTCTAGAGGTACAAGGGAAGAGCCTCGTGGAGGATGGGTTCTAACTTGGGGACTGGGCAGTTGTGATGCTGTTGCCAAGCAGGGCTCTGGGTGGTACTGAGGGGGACCAGCTCACTTAGGCAGGATGAATCGAGCTGCTGCACGTGGGTGTGATGACAGTCATTTTAATGCCCAAATCAGTTTCTTTCCCATAAAAATGAATGAAGATATCATGTTGAAGATGGTCAATATGGGAGTGTCCTGGTAGTTGGCCATTGGCTTAAATGTCCCTCGTCAGCTGGAGGCACACTCCCTGAATTGATGGCGGGTTGAAGTTGGCATTTTTCTGGCTAACTTCCTGACGCAGTGCCCTGCTCCGAGCAGAGGGCTGGGCGGCTCATCCCTTCCCTAGAAAACTGGTCAGATCACCACCAGGGGGTCACAGATGGCGTGTCGCTGACGGCCTGGACGACTTTGAAATGGTAAATTCAGAAAATCATCCCACGACTCAGCTCAAGTCAGCTCCAACGCTTCTGGGGTCCTTCCCAGATGAGGACATTTGCAGTCCTCGTGACAACTTAGCAGTGGAATCTGCCTCATGATGCAGGTGGGAGACTGAGGTTGGAGGGTCAGTTGTCCTGTAGCAGCCCTGCTAATGAGCCAGGCTCATTCCAAGGCCACGGGTGAGAGTTGGGGCCAGGGTGTCTCCATACAGCTCTGACTGCAGCCTCTCGGGCACCAGACTCAAGAGTTGTTTTACGGGGCCATTTTCTCCATGACAAAATTGTAGCTAGTATTTTCAACTTGATTGATATTTTGCTGTACTTGAAATAACAAGGAACGATGGCTGGGTTTTCCATTTATTTTTCTTCCTCAATTAATACAACAGCAGAGATAAGGGATATTAAGCTGCCATCTTAACTAATGGCTTGATTTTATCCAAACTAGCATCTTTTAAGGAGAATCAATCTAAATGATCTTCCTCTGTCCCTCATGCGGTCCAGAGCTTGGTTGATGGACGTAAAGAGAAAGCCCACACAAACTGAGGCTTCTTTCGAAGTCCAGATTCCCTGTTGGGGAGCTGTGGTCATCTGTTGGATCAGTCACCATTTCACTGTGGGATTGGATAGCATGCTCCTTCCTTTCCATCAATCTGAATGTACTTTGAGCAATATCTCACTTTGGAATTAGTGGTATTTTCAGAATATCTATCATACAGGGGACTAAGGGAAAAGACAGATTGGGACGTGAAATATCTTAGCCTATGAAAAATCATGATCTTAGCTGATTCCACTTTAATGTTATCGCTGTTATGCTAGTTCTATATCTGTGTGTCGCTGGTAGACGAATTTTTCACTGACAGACCCGCACATACTTTATACAAGTTGCTAAGTCATGAAAACCAGCTGCTGAATTTAGGGGTAATTTGGCTTGTTTTAATGTGATCACTTCCCTGCTCTTTCAGATGGAAATAGATGGCGGACACGACACTTTTGGTAATCACGGAGAGACTTCACATGGATTCTGGACATGGCACGGACTTTCTATTTCATATGCACTGAGCCTCAGGAAGAACTCACAGAGGTATATGTGTTTTTTCTTTCTTTTTTTTTTGAAATTCTCTGCATAGCACGGGTGCTGGGCAAGGACATTGGATGTAATCAGAGCAAAATATTTGTCTTTGTTGTTTGGAGCCAACAAACTTTGTTGTTGCAGCACAAGAGCCTAATTCAGTAACCATCACTGAGTGCTGAGCCCCGTACCATTCCCAAAAAGCAGGAGAGAAGGTTGCAGTTACAGGTGAGGAGGAGGCTGCAGGACCAGACCAGCAGAACCTGGCCCGAGCACCCCAGTGGGACTCAGAACTGTTGAAGAAATTGCTGCAGACAGTGTTCAGCCCACAGGAGACAGTGCAATGACATTTGACCTTCTGGTGACCTCCTGAGCAGGGGGGTCCTCACCTAGGAGTGGCCAGAGCTAGTTGCTACTGCTTTGCTCACTGTCAGCACATCCTCCAGAGGATTGCTTTGATTGCCTTTCCTGAACATTCTTTCTCCAGCGTGGTATTTTCCTAACAGTTATTATTTTTCCTTTCTTCAGACAGGGCAGCAATTCTGTGCTCACTGAAGTCTTTAGGAAGAGTTTCTGTGCTCCGAAGGCTCTATCTTAACCTTTTCGGAAAATCTGGACCACGTGAGGCAAATGATGATATCCATCTCTAAAGATAAAGTGCTTGCCAACATTAAAGGTCGTCTCTTACTAATGTACCGGATTAAAGGCTTCACTCACCCAATCATTTAACTACAGGAAAACAAAAGCATTTCAATTATACGCAAATGATCTTCTTAGGTAATTTGTAGCTCATTAAAATTGATAACAGATGGTTGGTTTCAAAACATCTCTTCACCCCCAAATTTTCAGTTACAACCTAGGCAATATCCATGTTGCTAAGAAGCACGATTCTAGACTTTGTCAACTATCTTGGGGTCCCAAGCCAAGACATCCAAAGAGTCTTTGTTTCTGTTAACCTTGGGTTTCCCGCCCGGGCCTGTTCTTTGCATTACTTCATTCTCATCTTCCAGTTCTAGCCTCTGAGAGGAGCCTCGGAGAAAACGCTCTGGTGGCTCTGTCTCATAACTGTTCTCAGCCAGTGGACCTGTGGGTGGCGAGTTATCATGGTGCCACGTCTGCCCTTTGCAAAGCATTCTGGGGCCTGCAGAGGGCTTGCTTTGCTTTGTTTTCTCTGTAGAAATCCTATCACTGTCCTTTCTGGAAGAACTGGTCCTTCTCTCAGCAGATGAGGGTCCTCCTTCCCTGGGACAGGGAGATGCTGGGGCTGTCTGGAGGGAAAGCAGGTATTCAGAGAAGGCCCCAAAGGCCACAGGCTCCAGCTGACGAGGTGCGTGCTCTTGTGTAGCCGTACATTTTAAAAGTTCCTACTGCCACACAGAAACTGTTCACGCGCCACAAAGACGTAGCTTGAATTCCCACCGTACGGACGCACGCACGCGACCCGGCACTAGCAGACCCAGGAGCCATCCTCCAGGGCACCGGCAGCTATGATTTATTTTGCCTGAGCTCTGTCTTTTCATAGATGGAGTTGTTCAGCACGTGATTTTTTTTTTTGGTTGTTGTTTGAGCATTCTTTTGCTCAACATTATATTCTGAGATACCTCTGCGAATACATTTTGGGGTTGTGTATACACTAGCCTGTGAATGACCCGTCTATCCTTCTACTTTTGCTCTGTGTTGGATGATTCCCAACTTGGGGTTCTTATGGGTAGTGCTGTGAAGAGCCTTCTGGTGGCACCTGAGTTTTGGAGAACCTATTTTTGACAGGCTAAACTGTACTCGGCGAGTGATTCTGGGATGGTAGGGGGTACGTGCGCTCAGCTTCAGTTGGCACTGTGTGTCCAAAGGTCTTGTACAAGGCACACGCTGCCAGCTGTGGGTGAGCTCTGCTCATGCCTCAGCCTTGTTGGGACTTGGGATTTCCCACCTTTGCGTTTCAGCTGTTTTGCAGATGTGTTCTTGCAGTTCCTTTATTAGTGTGCATGCTAATTTGTTGGTATAGTTTAACCCATATCTTCTTCATTAATTAAATAGAGCATCTTTCTGGGGGTTTACTGGCCCTCTTTTGTGAGGAACCTGTTCAGCCCCTTGCCCGTTCTTCTTTGGGTGGTCTTTTTCTTCCAGACTGCAGGGGGTCTTTGTACCATGTCACCTCCTCCTCTAGCTCGTTAACATTGAGTTCTGCCGGTTCCCAGCACCTTTTCCTCCCCAGACCTCCAACCCAGGCATCCCCACACCCTGCAGTTCTGCAATTCTCGGTCTTGATGGCATCATGGGTGAACACACAAGCCCTGGACGTTAAGGTCACGACATGCCGTGCTCTCCCTTTGTGGGCGGTATTTTCATGTCCCACTAAGACATCTTTGCTTACACCAAGGACGCACCTGCCTCTTGTTTCTAACCCATGCGTCGTCTCACCTCCCGTATTTCGCTCTGTGACATATTTAGAATCGATGGCTGGATGGGGCTTAAGGGGTCTTAGGAGGTCCTTCTTCCACATGTCGATCCACACAGCCCAGCACGGTTGGCACCGAGCCCTGGCTTTCCCTCTGCCCCGCTGACACCCGTCCTCCACACAACCGGACGGTGTCTGTGTGGGGATTCTCCTGAGCCTCTATTCTGTTTTTCTGGCCACTGCCCCTCATCCCCATGCAAACACCCTGCGGTTTTAATGACCCTTGTTTCCTAGTAGATCTGGATAGAGGTGGGTGGTTCTTCTTGCCTTGGCTCTGTTTTATTTTAATATTTATGTTTTAGTTGTAGGTGGACACAATATCTTTATCTTATTTTCAGGTGGGGTGCTGAGGATCGAACCCAGTGCCTCCCGCATGCTAGGCGAGCGCTCTACCTCTGAGCCACAGCCCCAGCCCTAGGTTGGCTCTTTTTAGCTCCTTATATTTCCACATAAATTCCACGGTCAGCTCATCAATCTGTCTCCTCCCCGCACCCCCTTTGCTGGGATTTTTCCTGGTCTTCCTCTGTCCGTGGGGGAGAACTGACATTGAATCGGCGTCGGGTCTTCATGCTGTGTGAACGTGGACCTGTTCTATCTCCGTCTCTGTGTACATTTGTATTTCTTTTTCTTTCTTTCTTGCTCAGGTTGGGACTGATCTGACCTCGGGGAAATTGCTTAGTCTTTGTGTTAGTCAGCTTCTTTCCATCACCGGGAGGAAACAGCTGAGCAAAACACGTTCAAGGAGGAAAGATTGATTTCGGCTTGTGGTCTCCGAAGCTTCAGTCCCTGGTCAGTGGCTTTATTGCTTAGGGCCTGAGTGAGACAGAGAGTCACCCAGAAGGGAGAGAAGGGGCCCGAGGGCACGTCCCCAGGGCCTGCTCCCCAGCACCTGGGTCCCATCTCCCCACATTCATCCAGCTGTGAATCCATCAGTGAACGTAATCATCAATGAGGTCAGAGCCCTCCCGTCCTGTCGCTTCCCCAAAGCCACGCCTCTGAACACTGCTGCAGGGGACCGAGCGCTCAAGACGCAAGCTTTTGGGGGACCATGACAATCTTTCTCCACGGCGCAAGACGTTTGCTGAAGCAGCAGCTCTTCCTGCACCTTTATCAGATAAGGGATTTTCCTATTTTGTTTTTAATCTTGCATCATCGTAGAATTTTTTTTTTCAAATGCAACTATTATGACGATCATATTATGTTCGCTGAGTTCGTTAATATTTTGTTAAGAGTTTTAAAATATATGCTCATTTGATCTGTAACTTTTATTTCTCATAAGACTTTGTCAGGTTTTGGACAAAACCCGGTCTCCTGAAAAGAGTTGCCAAGTGTTGCGTCTACTTCTATTTCAGGAAGAGTGTGCAGGTCGGTGATTTTCATTCTTCATTATTTGGAAGCCTGTAGGAAGCTGTCTGGGCCTTGAATTTTCTTTGTGGAAAGAGTTTCAACAACAGATTTTTCTTTCCATATTGAGTTATTAAAGATTTCTCTACTTCTTCTTAGATAATTTGATATAGTTCTGAAAAACGTCACGTCACATCTGAAATTGCCAGATTCATTTCATAAATCTGCTCACAGTACTCTTTTGACATCTGTAGTCATTTCCTCCTTCGATGCTTGATATTGTAATTGGTTTTTTACCTTTTTAAAAGCGATACACCAGTATCGACATGAATTTATTAATTTTATGAAATCTTTTCTAAGGACCAACTGACTTCATCTTGTATGTATGTTTTGAATTTCCATCTGAGCACTGCTCATTCTACAAGTTTGGAAATTTTGGAATTTCATTATTCTCTCCCTAATATTTTCTATGCAACATTCTTCTTGATTAGGACTTACGAGCAGGGTATTGTTTACATCAGGCAGCTAGGGGTTTCTAGCTGTATCGTAACCTTAACGTCTAGCTTAGTTTCATTGTGATGGGAGAGATACTCTAAATCATGGTAGTTTAAAAAATCGTTACCTTCTCTATCTCTGCACATGAACAACTTTGGTAAAAATTTCCCGTGAACCCGAGGGAAGGAATTGGGCTGCTGCACTCAGCTCTGTGCGTGTTTGCTGCTCAGGCTCGCCCCTGGGCTGCACAAGGGCTCTGCGTCTTTGCTTCTGGTTGTTTTTGCTGGGAACGTGAGGGACCGCAGGCCTGCCTGCTTCTCCTCTCTGTCTCCTCTGCTCTGTGTATTCTGACCCGCGCTGCTGGGTGCACACAGGTTCAGGGTTGTGAAGCGCGATATCTGGCCTGAGGTTGCTGCTTTCGCCATCATGACATGGCCCCTTTGCCTCTCGTCACGTTTCCTGTGTTAAAATCTGCCTTCATGCCGCCTGTGGGAGTATAGGATCACCTCTTCTCTTCTATGTGGTCACTAAAAGCGTGTTCTTTGTAACATTAGTTTGTTGATTTTTAAAAACAGTCTGATAATCTCGGTGTATTAGCAGTTGACATTTAATTGTGGCGTCCCTAGGTTTATATTTGGCCTATTACTATGCTTTTCTATTTGGCTCATTTTGAAAACGCCCTTTACTGTCTCTCTGGATGCATCAGACATTTTCCCTTTTGTTGATTTGCTAGCCTTACACCCTTTTTCTGTTCTTCTGTGCTCGCTGCAGGTCACGGTGTAGATATTTGGCTCCTTGCAGCTGGACACCAAGCATGGTGGTGCCCTCCTCTCCAGTGACGCGCAGCTGGCCCTCACTGCCTTCTCCAGCCCCCCTCCTTGTCATGGTCATTGTGTGTTTTAGATCTGTCAGTGTCTTGAAGCCCTCATGCCACGTGATTATTAGCTCACCATATTTTACCTTCTGTTTATCTGCTTCTTGCATTTCCATGCCTCCCGGGATTTTCCCTCTGTCTGAAATATTCTTTTGTAAAAACCATCTGCTCACGACACAGTCCCTCGTTTCTTTTATTTGTCTAAAAGGGTCTTTAATTCATCTTCATTATGAAGGAAGAATCTGAGGCCTGTAGAATTCTTGATTGGCAGGTACAATCTGGCAAGGGTTAGTTTGTGGGAGGTACTACTGGGAGGTGGCAGAGGCTTTAGGAGGTGGCGCCCAGTGCAGGGACTTGAGGCCTTGGGGGTGCCCTTGCAGGGGACCCTGGAACTCCAGCCCTGTCCTCTTCCTCTCTGCTCCTTGGCTCACGGTATTAGTGGCTTTGCTATGCTACCAGCTCTTGCCACAGTGTGCTGCCTCTCTGCAGGCCCAGATCATGGCACCAATCCATCAGGGACTGAAACCTTTTCTCTTCATAAGTTAACTGTCTCTGGCATTGCATTCTAGTGATGGGAAACTGACTAATTCAGCAGGTGTCTTTACTCAGAGGATGTCATTCATTGCTGGATTTCCTCATTCCTATTTAGAAGTCAGCCATAAGTCATATTGCTGCTCTGTTGTGGGAAAATGTCCTTTTTCTTCTTTGCAGTGTTGGAGATGGGAACCCAGGGCCTCCTGCATGCTAAGCAGGCTGCCTGGTGCTGAGCCACATCCCCAGATGCAAATGTCTGTTTCAATCTCAGGCTGCTTTTAACACTTTCCCTTTGATTTTGGTTTTGATCTGTTTGACACTTCTCCTGAAATGTGATTTTTCTTCAAATTTACCCTGTTAGTGATTTGCTGAATTTCTTGAATTAACAGGTAGATGTCTCTCATTCCTTTTGGAAACTTCCCAGACACTCTATCTTCAAATATTTTTTTCCTGGCCCGTTACCCTGTTCTATCCTTCGGTGACTCCAGTTTCATGAATGCCCCACGAGTCTCTTATGTGATTTTTTTCTGATTCTTTGTTCTCTCTGTGCTTTGCGGAGGGTGTTTTCTGTAGATTCATCTTCCAGGTCACAATTCTTGCACTGTTAACCCACCTGTTTACTTCTTAGCATCGGGTGCAACGTACCTCTGTTCTGGAATATCCGTTTCATTCTCTCTGACAGATTCCAAATCTCTGGAATCCTCCCCTCTGCTCTTGGCTAGTTTTGTCTTCCAGTCCCTTGAACGTGTTAGAGGTGGCGATTTCAGAGTCCGTG